GGGGGGGGGAGAGAGAAAGGAGGCCTATCTAGCTTTTACCGTGTTTCAGCCACGCGTATTAGTAGTCTGAGTCGGAAGCCCAAAATATATTTTTCTATGGCAAGGGACGAAAACCCAGGCGGTCTGTGGTTTTTGTTTAGACCGAGATCTGGTACAGACGTTTGAAAAGGCAAGGTTCTCCCCGTGGGTTTCGCCTGCCTGGGTGAAGGCTAGCTGAGATCGGGAAGGCTTGTGCCTCCAGTTGTCCTCACTGTGAGCGAAGGTGGAAGGTGCCCTACATGCATCTCTCCTTCCCCGGCAACACACACACACACACACACCCCTCCTCCCTTATTCTTAAAATATTAAAATATTCCATTTTCATAGAGCCCTAGTACCTTGGAGAAAGGAGTCCAAGGTGTACCTAGACTTTTGTCTTAACGATTGTTCCTTGGGGCCTTAATAGGATCCTCAGAAAAGGTGACTCGGAGGTACCTTCTAGAATTCAGGAGAGAAGAAACAAGCCAGGCAGTTCTACTAAACTGGAGAAATGATTCTTTCGGCAGAAAATAAATTAGAAGCAACAAAGGATCTTGCAGCACCCTAAAGGCTAGTATGTTACACTCGCAATGAGCTTTCATCGGCTGTGGCCCACTTGGTCAGATCCCGGCGGCGGTCCATCAAACCTTAAGCCAAATAAAGCTTGCTCTTTCTTCTTCAAGTTGCTTCGAGAACCTTGGTTGTTTCTGCAAGGATAAGCCGGCATAGCTAGTCTCTCGGATACCTTCTGCCCTAATTATGTTTTTTCCTCTTTTCTGTTATGGATCACAGCGGCTGGAATTAATATTTAATTTGAGAGATTTTAACTTTCTCCTGGTAGGAAATATCCCATCCCTTTTCATTTCAGTGTTTTCTATCACTGCTGTTTTGCAAAAACGTAAAGGTTTTTTTGTTTGTTTGTTTCTTTGGGTTTTTTTTTGCATTTTTTGTTTTTGTTTTGTTTTCGGGCTGTTTGTTTGAGATCTAGTCGTAAGCCGGCATCTTTAATTCAGGGGCCGTTGAAGCGGTCAAGAGGTAGAGTAAGAGGGCCTTGATGCGTGAGTGATTACAGTTAATCATGGAGAATTGGCAATGGACAACCTTAGCATAAGGGGCTATTAAGGAGAAGGCTGAATGCATTAAGGCTAATGAGAATCATTGATTCTCCAGTGCATTCTAGAGTATGTTAGGTGGCTAACATTTCTAAACAGAGCGGGTAGCATTAAGAAAGCAGAATTTTTTCCCCAATAGCTTTTTAAAAAAGTGATATTATTTATTGATTTCTCTATACAGTATATGTATCTTGTTCCTTTTGAGTTTGGTTCTTGATTTGGTTGATGTCTCTACCCTAACTGACAAAGGATATGAAGAGAGTAGACTGAGGTTCCTCAAGCTCACAGATGGTCTTTCTGTTCCAGAGGTCAATTGGTGTGGAGCACATAGAACGCGGTAGGCACATGCACGCGCACACGCATACGCACACGCACACACATACACACAGAAGCAGGGCTGCTTTTCCCATCAAGCTGCGGCCAGTAATATGCTGTAGGCCGAAAACGAGCATAATTGATGAGGTCGCCTTGTCCTGCATCTAAAAGCGACCGCTGAAAATTCAGTGGATGCTTAGAAAGGGAGTGAAGAGATAAAGGTTAGCCAGGGTGTCGACTAAATTTACTAATTTGGGAGTTAACATTCGGCTGCCTTGTTTGCCAGATGCCTGATCCGTGACTTGGTGCTCCTTCTTTATATTCGTCCTGGACAAATATCGCCTGGAATAGCAGCACTTGCCCGTCCTAATATATTAATACTTTCCTCAGCCAGAACCCTCCTCTTCCTCCCTGCCTCGCCTTGCTCCCATTTCCTCTCTCCTTCGCTCTTTCGTGTTCTTTCCTCATTCTTTTCTTTCTCTCTTTCCCCCACTTCACATTGTCCCCTTGTCCTGTAATTCTTTCTTCCCCTCTCTCTAAGTTTCCTTCCCATAGTCTCCTCTTCTTTATTTTACTTTTCTTCGCTTCTATAATGCCTAGAAGAGACGTTGTCCACCTCGTTACAAGATACTGTTTAATGTAATAGACACCCTCTCTCTCTCTCTCTTTTCTCTTTCTCTCTCTCTCTCGCCTGCTTTTTTCTTTCCTCTTCTCCTCCTCTTCACAGATGTGGTACCTCTTCAGCCAGAAGTGAGCAGCTATCGTAGGGGCCGAAAGAAACGAGTCCCCTACACGAAAATTCAACTGAAAGAACTAGAAAAGGAATACGCCGCCAGCAAGTTCATAACCAAAGAGAAGCGACGAAGGATTTCCGCGACCACTAATCTTTCCGAGCGCCAGGTCACGATCTGGTTTCAGAACCGCAGGGTGAAAGAGAAAAAGGTCGTTAGTAAATCTAAGACACCTCACCTGCACGCTACCTGACAAAAGAAACCGTCTAGGAGGGGGCGGGGGCGGGAGCAAAGATGCATTGAAATCGAGGAGGAGCGAAACAAGCAAACATACAAATATTTATCTGATAAATTTGTATAGATAACACACGCCTTGGACTCTTTGATCAATCTGATTATTTAAACAAAAAGAGAGAAGAAGAAGAAGATCACCCACCCACCACGGAAAGATGAGGAATTAAACCGCCATCTTTGGTTTATTCTTCTGTCCTGGCATCACCCTCTCTTGAACTGTGAATCCGGTCGCCCCAGTTAAACATCCGTTTTGACATGGTTTTCAATGTGCACATTTAACAAAGGGAGAGGAGAAGGGGGGAGGGGGAGGAAACAAAATAATGCAAATATGTAAATTTGCCACTATGGGATTTTAAATGTTATTTTGTAGTCCTGTATAATCGCCTGTCCCTCCCCGCCCCATCAAGGATCAAAGATCTCCCCTTTCTTTGGCTGTTTCTGTCTGTGATGTTTAAAAGAAAAATGAATAAAGAAAGCTATATACATAAATATATATATGGAGAACGTATTCACCTTGGTTCAAATAAAAGATGCCCTAGAAATGTTTCTTTTGCTACCGTGGAGAGGAAAACAAAAAAGAAAACCGAAAGAAAAGTAAGGCTGCTACCCTGAACGTGTTGCTGTTCGTGTTTTTACTCCCCTGATTTTAGTCTGTATTATTTTAAACACATTCTCCAGTAATGTTGTTCCTGCGTAATTCCTAGGGCACGATCCAGCCAATGATAACCACTTCCATGTCTACTGGATTCTAACGGGGGAAAAATCCAGCAGGTGCTTAACTTTACCTTTGGCGAGATTTAAATATGTTCAGCTCTGGCGGGATCATGGCCTTAATAACTAGTATTTTCAGTTTTCTGGAATATGTTCTCAGTCGGGTTGATTTGTTATTATTATTGTGTATTTGTTTTCTGATACGAAACTGGAATGTTTATTCTCCATAGACAGTATGGAAAGTGCGCGGTTCTCTCTCTGTTGTTTGTTTTCAGTTTTCGCTATTATCTTTCGACACACAAGAGCAGTTTGTGTTCTTTCGCCTTGTTAAAGCGATCCATTTTTTAAAAAAGAGTCTTGTATATGTATATAATGTGTTGTCCGAATGATATGTACTGAATGCAGAATACATTTCTTAAAAATAAATCTCTGTTTTTCTTCCTCCCTTCTTTTCTGCTTTGGAAAATTGCAGGGTGCTAGGCCTTGGGTTTGCCTACATATTCGGTGGGTGTTATGGAGTTGATTTCCCGTTTGGGTAATTTTATTTTATTTTCTTTTATTTTATTGAAGGTGCAGATTAATGCAGACAAATCCGTAATCCGACTTGATTTTTGAGAAAAGAAAGGTTCCGGTTCTCACATTCCTTTCTCCAGAGTAATCTGCGGGGTTATTTCAGAAACAAACCCTAACTCAAACCTGGTTTTGCACTCTCCCCCCCCCCCTTAAATGGCAAAAATATGCCTAGATCCCATTAAAGGGTCTCTCCTTCCCTCAATTCTTGATAGGCAGTAATGATCTGTGAAATAAAACAGAGGAGAATGTCGTCCCCCACCCCGCACCCCTGCCGACGCACGGCTTAGAGACAACTAGAAAGCACGGGGTGGAGAACACGTATAGGTGGGTGCAACAGAGGTATTGATCAGTCTTCGACCTGTGTTGAAGACTTTCCCAGGGCTGTTTCAAACAGGGCATGTAGGAGACAAGGAAGAAAGTTGGGCACAAAGGGAACTCGCAAATGGAAGGATCTGTAAACCTCGGGGCCTCCTGGCCCTATCCTGGACCAGAAAGCTTCCTTTCGAAAGCCTTCTATGAAGTTCCACTTGACTTTAGTTGCTTTAGCGCTGTAACCTGGCGCCCTACTTTTTCCAACCCAAACCCGTTGCCATTGGTGGAGACTGAAATTCAGAATAAGCAAGGGGCAACAGGGCTGCTCAGTCTTAGCACCATTCCGGCAGTCTTCTGCCTTCTTGTTTGGTAACAGGTTGCACTGATCTCAGTGGGAATTTCTTCTGAGTAAAGACGGGTAGGATCGAGCTCTATGTACGAAGTTCCGATTCTCATAGCTTCCCTCAACTTTTGGCTACCCCAAGCGTAGGCATTAATTAATTAATGTCCCTAATTAATTAATTCAAGGAAGGGAATGAACGATGGTAATCGGGAAGTTCCTTGAGGCCACAATACTCAGCGCCATTACCTGGAAGTAAGGACCCAGCTAGCTTCGTGGGACGTCCTTCTCAGGAAACAGACATTAGGAGAGCCCTGTTGAAAACTCATAAGAACCTTTAAACTCTCATTGAGTTGTTTTGTTTCCTTAGGCCAGAACTACCTTCCTTCATATTTGCTCCAATTAAATCTGTTGTAAAAAATTCACAGCTGAGAACACTTTGAAAACACTAGAAGCAGAAGCCAATGTTCGTTTAGCCTACATGGAGAACCTATGGAATCATCCATGTGCAGGGGAACCGGTCTGGAGAAGATTCCTTTGGTGGCTCGTAGCCACCAACATGAATTTGACCCAACTCCGGGAGGGAGTGGAAGACAGGAGGGCGTGGCGTGCTCTGGTCCATTGGGGTCACGAAGAGTCGGACACGACTAAACGACTAACAACAAGCCAAGCCATAGCAGGCGGATAAGTAGAGAGGCAGATAACCTGGGTTTTTCTGCAGAGGTACCTTCAGCAGCTGCCCGTATATGTTTTTTAAGGACAATTTATGCTCCCTTGCCGGGTGCAAACGTTTTGCACGTTTTTCCATCTCTTTGAAATCCATGGAGCTTATGACCCTCCCCATCAACTTCAGTAGAGGGGCACGGGGTGATACAAAAGCTAAACAATTCTGCACAGCTGGTTTGATTAGGTATCTAATGCCCTTGTCCTTTGTTTGTTTGCTAGTTTAGTTAAGTTAGTTAGTTAGCTAGTTAGTTAGTTGGGACGCCTTCACACGAATGACTTGTTCCTCTCTAGTTTTAAATCTATTTACTTCCAGGAAGGCTAGACTAAAGTGAATTAAACGCTGTTCCAAGAAAACAGGAATATTAAGGGTGCTTGCCTTTCCCACCATTAGACCGATTACAAACACCCACGCAACCAGGAGTAATCTACACTTTACAAAATCAAAGCACATATTCAACAAGTCTGGGTTATCCATCATTTTTTGAAGAGTTAAAGGCCAGCAAGAGGAAAGAAGGCTTGAATTCTTATTTCTCGCAGCCATTGTACACCGTCTGTTGTCCTCAAGCAGGTTTAGGATCCTTTCATCTGCTATGGAGACATTTCTAATCTAGACCCGGCCCTTTTGTGTTTTTGGGGTAACAACACCAAAGGGTTAGCAAGATACATAGGCGGGACCTTCCCAGCACAAGGGCAAAGCTTGGAAAAGAGGTATAGGGCACATACCCCTCCCTAAAATATAGAAACTCTAAATAGCCACTTCGGTTTGATTTTTTACCCAGGTAGAAGGAGGGTGAGCATTCGTTCTGTTTTCCTAGCCTCATTAGGGATGTTGGATTTGACAATGATAATCAAAAATCTGGAAATATATATATGAGTAGAAATTTCTCGTGCATTTCAGATCTAATAACATCACTCTGCCAACGTTAAAATCAGGGAAGATAAAAAGGCATAACTCTCCTCAGATGGAATTTAGGCCCCTCCAGCTGAGTTTAGTCCATTAGAGCCTTTGGGCCAGAGTGGAGCGTTATTCTTATAGAAGGATTCGCCCCCTTGTACTTCATGCGGTGAATATTTAAAATGCATTGTGCTTTCTGAAGTTCCACTGCTCTTTTTTTTGTGCTGCAAAATACATAGATAAACAAGATCAGTTTGATTTCAATGGGAAACTCATAGGATGTGGCTTTTCTCTTTAGTGGATACCGCCCATTACTTATAAGCAAAACCCACAGTTTTTGAATTAGATAATTTTGGGACATGGGCCTGGATAACTGGTTGTGCTACTACTGAGTAGACTCAAAAGTAATCCATTTTTGTGAGTCTCCGCAAACCCATTGGGATCAGTGCCCCTATTCTAAAGCTAGCCAACAGGAGAAAGCCAGCTGGTTTCAACTGAGCGTTACTCTTGCCTACCATATTTAGTGTTAGGCATAATAATCATGTGTTGCAACGAACTTAGGTTAAAGCCAGCACAATGTGTTGCAAATGAGAGGTTCAGCAGCTGAATTCACAACCCAATTAAGCCAAAATGTTGAGAATATGTAGGCCAGGATTACTGATAAGACTTCCTTCGTGTTGTTGTGCATCCTTTGCTTGCTGTTACTGTTTTGCTAGTTCCCTGTGTTGTCTCCCAAGCGGGCAATGTCCCTCACTCCTTCTGAAAGGAACATTTGGGAGAGGGAAGGGGACGTCGCAATGTTTCGAAATAGCCCAAAGCAAAAATGCTGTAAGGCAGAATCTGAAATGTGACTCTCAGTCTGCAATCCTAAGCATATTTACCTCTGGGTGTAAATCCCATTAAATGCACCAGAACTTATTTCCATGGAAATGAGAAAGTCCTTGATGGAGGCAACTGGATTCAACAGCTTCTTCTTGGTTCAAGGCCTTCTGAAGTTTATAGGGGAGAATGAGTGAAAATTAGGCAATGAAACCAAGCTCTGCCCACCACTGAGCAAAACTCTCTCCTTGCACTGAGGAAAGCTGCAATCTTGTATGCTGCTTTTCAGAAAATAAGCCTGATTTCTCCATAGAAATATATAGGACTGCACTGTGGGTTTTTCTAAGTTGCCTGCTTAACAAGCGATGAGAACACAATACAAAAACAACTGAGGAGTCTACGCTGATTTTAAATAAGTGGATCTGAAACTCTTCACCCTGTGATTCTTTCCAACTCTTCAAATGGGCCATCCCAATCGATGTGTTCTGACTTAGAAACTATCTCCAGTGAGTTTAGGGCTGACCTGCTCTCAAGCGAGTGTACATGTTTAAGCTCTACATGGTGTCCTTTAACTTGGGAGCCTGGGAGCTTGTTGATTTCAATGCAACTTGCTTCCCATACACCTGGGGAAGATAGGGATGGTACAATTTCTTCTCACCCGTTTGCAAGGGTGCCAGATCCAGCAATTCAGCAGGTATCTCCAGATCTGCTTTGGGAACTGACTCCGAGGAATTTTTGAAGGCTACAGAGAAGAAACCTTAGGAGCTCATCATGTGCCAATGGGAGGCATGGAAGCTCTCCACCCTACTATGCTCCAACCCAAGCTGCAATCCATTTAATTCACCTAATTGTAAAGCAACTTCACTCATAATGACTCCTGGTGTCATCTAAACTAGTGGTCCTCAACCTTGGGCCTCCAGATGTTCTTGGACTACAACTCCCAGAAGCCTTCATCACCACCTCTGCTGGCCAGGATTTCTGGGAGTTGAAGTCCACGAACATCTGGAGGCCCAAGGATGGGGACCACTGATCTAAACCATTCAGTAGCAGCTTGGTGGGGATTTGATTCTCCATGTGACATTATATCACTTCTTCTCCACTATACTCCCCATGCACACAACAGTCAATGCCAAGGGAATTGAGCTCCATGTATCACCCATTTCTCTTAAAATTAAGGCTTCCCCATTGCATTCCTTGGTACTTGAAATAGAAATGGGATAAGCACATCTCTCTACCTTATCTTGGCTTTTTCTGGCTCCATTTTATAAACCATGGGCCAGCTCACTCTCACTCATTCTCTTTCACACACTACTGTAGTCCTGTTATTGTCCATTT